AGGTAGGATGTGGCGGGTTTTTGAGAGGAGGCTCCAGGGCATCTTGTTTCTCTGGCATGGGCCACGGCCCACCTTGGGGGGTTTGCAACAACCTGGGCTGGTCCTCAGGAAGTTGGTGAACTATGCGTCCCCGTTCACTGATTGCAAGCACTGGGAGTCCTGGAGGCTTCGGATCTTGGCCGTCAGCCCTGCAGTGGCCGCGGAGCTTAACGAGTTGATTTGGCAGGCCCGCAAATGGGCCCAGGAACATGAGCATCACGCGGCCTCAGAGAGGGCCAGGGCTTGGAGGAGCTGGGTGTCTGAGGCTCTTACTGGTGGGGCCCGACTTAGACACAGGTACACTAAAGAAGTTCCCAAATGGGCCACGTGTGGGTTATCGCAGCTCTCAGGGCCCATCGGTGTTCCTCTGGGCGTCTTGGGAGAAGCTGAAGCACGAGCTCAGAGTTGGCACAGACACTGGGGAGTTGGTCAAGTTTTTCCTGATCCCGATTTCAGCTGGCGTGAAGATGAACCCGAGCTCGGACCACCGACTCACGCGGAGCTTGCAGCCCCGGTCCGTTCGTACAGTACGCACACGGCAGTTGGGGCACGTGGGTTCCATCCTCGGCATTGGTCTTTCTCGACGAAGGCGCCGTCGCAGTATTCCTGTGCGTCTGGGAGCAGATGCAGCGCCTTTTCCACGTGCCCAGGTGCTGGGCACTGCTGCTCATCGCTCTTCTGCCCAAACCACCGCCAGACGGAGGGGATCGGCCTATTGGTATCTGCCCGTCTCCCCTCAGGATGTGGTCCAGATGGGCCCGCTGGAAAGTTGCTGGCCCCTGGGAGCTCGGTCATCCTCGGAGTTTTTGGTTTGCAGAGTCGGGCGCTTCCTGCGATATTTGCGCGTGGAAGCAGAGTTCCAAGGCGGAGTTGGCTCGGGGCCAGGGCAAGGCAGCAGGATCTAAGCTCTTAGACCTGGTCAAGGCATACGAGCACGTGCCTCATCATGTGCTCGCTGCTGCCGCCCGTAGACACCAGCTCTCTGTGAAAACGTTACGCTTCCTCCTGGCCACCTACAGCTTGGACAGGATGGTGTGATTTGACAGGATCGCGACCGAGGTGGCATCGACCAATCGGACGATTCTCGCTGGTTGCAGTTGTGCTACGTCGTTGCTGCGTCTCGTGCTTCTATCCCCTGCTGATGCCGTTGTTCAGCGGTTTGCGTCGGTCGATCTCGCTATTGTGGTTGATGAGTTGCAGCTGCAGAGGGTTGGGGATGCTTGGGAAGTCGCTCGTCATCTTAAAGGTGCTGAGAACCTCCTCACCTCTGAGCTGAGTCACATCGGGCTCAGTATTTCCCTCCCCAAGAAGCACCTGACGGTCGTCGGTCAGAACCTCCGGTGTGTCGTTCGCAAGGTGGACCCGTCTTCGGCTAAGTTCCTGACCAGATCGGTACGAAACCTGGGATTAGATTTTGGTGGTGGTCATCGGGTGCTCCATGCTGTTCGCGCTAAGCGCTTAGGCAAGATGGCGCCCAGAGTCCCCAGGTATAAACGGTTGGCTAAAGCTGGGGGCAAAACGCTCAAACTGGTCCAGACGGGCCTTAAGCCTGGTATGCTACGGGGTGTCCGTGTTCACGGCATCAGTCATACTCATCTACTGCGGGCTCGGCAGCTTGCGCGCGCTGGCTTTGTGCATAGGCACACTGGCATATCGCTGTCGCTCGATCTCATGATCGCAGGCCGCCAGGTCGACCCAGCCTACGGGTGCAATCGTGGGCCTAGTTTATTCTGGATGCGTGCTCTATGGGATGGTCGGGCGGTGAGATCCGGCATGGCGCGTCTTCTGAGCGGGGCTTGAGCTCGTTTGTCGGTGCTTCCTGAGAACAAGGTTTGGTCCGATATCCGTGGCCCCGCCTCGGCCCTTGTGGGCGCGATGTTGAAGATTGGTCGGAAGTTTTAAAACCCGTTCCGCTGGTTGACCCACAGGGGTCCCATTCTCATTGAGCAAATGTCAGAGGGACGTTGGTCGGTTAGCCGATGAGGCTACCGAGCGCTGGATCCGGCAGCAGGTTCTGGCGAAGCATGCGTCATGGGCCTCGTTGTGCCCTCATCCCCCTCTCCTCGAGCCTCTGAGGGCCCTCGTCCTTCCTGCCTCGCTCAAAGGCCCCGACTGGACCCCCAAGCATCAAGGGCTCCTCAAGTGCCTTTTTGCTGGAGGTTGTTGGTCTCAAGAGAGGCTATATGAAGCTGGTGGAGCTGTCAATCCAGAGCGCCTTGCGTGCAGGAGCGCAGGCTCCACCTGGCATCGTTTTTACGACTGCCCTTTGCGCGCCGAATATCGTCGGGAGTTCAAGGCTGGGTTCGAGCTGGCCAGTCAGATGCTAGAGTTGGCTAAGAAGACTGCCGACCGCTCGCTGATTTGGACCCGATTTCTTGCCCCTGATCCGTCCTGGCTGTTTCCGAGCCCCTGCCTCGAGGAGCGTGTGGTTTGGACCCTGCGTCCGCCCGATCTGCTGCTCGACGTGCATGTGTTTGGAGATGGCTCGGGAGTGCATGGGCAGTTCGGCCGCCTCAGGCGATGTGGGTGGGGGCTCTGCTCGCTAGACTCCCAGTGGAAGGAGGTTGCGAGAGTGCATGGTCCCCTGCCCAGTTTATGCCAGTCAGTGCCCGCAGCCGAGCTTTTCTGTTGCCTAATGGCTCTGCGCTACATGGGAGCTCAGATGAAGTTCTTTACTGACTGCAAGGCCCTTGTAGACGTTTGGCGCCAAGGGGCTGGAGCTGGCACTGATGCCAACGACCCCATGGCCTACTTATGGAGGGAGGCTTGGAGGTTGGTTGCTGACCGTGGGGTGGAGGCGGTGGAGGTGACTCACGTCAAGGCACACTCGCCTGTCTCCGCCATCGCGGATGGTGTGATCACTGCTTGGCAGCGTTTCGGCAACGCTCAGGCTGACCAATCAGCTAAGCGGGGTGCGGCGATGCATCCTGATGCGAAGATGTTGCGCGAAGCTCACCGTGCCTCGCGCCGTGTTGTCCAGATGGTTGCCCAGTTTTGTACTCGTGTCTCGGCGAGGATAGGAGTGGTCACCCCGCTCGATGCGCAGGCCCAGGCTTTGGGTAGGGCCATTGGCACCATCGAGGGTGGTTTCGGCCCGCCTAGGCCGCACTCGCGGTTTGATCCTGCCGTCACGTTTTGTGGCCGTCGCTATCGATGCATGGTGTGCCTCCGTTCGGCCAAAGGCCGTCTCACACTGCGCCAGCTCAAGTGCCAGGACCGAGCTGGCATGCATTCGCTGCACCGGGCGGGGCCAGTTTTGTTATGTTCCTTGTGCGGGGCCTACTCTGATAAGCGCAGCCAGGGTCTCTCGGACGAGTGCCTGGCCAGTCGGCGGAGGCTTGGCACGCAAGTCAAGGATTCTCGGTTTTATCGCCTTCAGAATCTGCTGAAAGGCTGCCACCCCAACAAGTCGAGTTTGTTTCTGGGGCCTCCAATTTTGCTGCGGAAGAGGAGGCCCGCAGAGATGGCTAGCATGCCGCAACTTCCCTCGCTCCCTCTGACCTCTCGGGTTGGGAGTGGGTCGGACGTGGGGGTGGGGTGGTCGGGGCAGGAGCATCTCTCGCCTCCTGTGTCCCAGGCTGTCTCGGCCTTGTGGGAGGACTTTCAAGGCCTCCCACCGACTCGGATGACGACGACGACCTTTCCCGCGATCTGCGGAGCTGGGTCGAATAGCGTCTCCGTCGCTGGCCGCCAAGGTTTTTAAACAGGCTAGTACGCGTGCGGCTGGTCTTTGTCAGTGCAAAAACATCTTCAGGGATGAGGCGGCAATCGACGAAGTACTGGAGATTGCGGGACAATTTGCGGCGAAGCCCGCTGGGCGACAGCAGGCCACATCTGTAAAATAAATGGGATGACCGAAAAGAGAAGCGGGGGTAGGAAGGGGAGGCGGAGGATCAGGAAAGGGGTGAGAGGAGGGGAGGACTTGAAGTGTTGGCTTCGATGCTCCATACCCGTTTGTGGGTACAGCTTCCTGGTATCACCACCCTGGGAGGCACTGTGATCCAAAGGCGTCCATAGTCGCTCCCACTGAAGATCGGGGAACTCATTGAACAAAACGAGGGCGTGCGCTGGATACACGTTCGCCAAGGATCCATATGGTGCAGTCTAGGTGTTGCAAACCCACGTGGTGCATTCGATGTGGCGCAAGGCAATGGAAAGCAATGCAAAGCGATGCCATGCAGTGCAATGCAACGCAGCGCAAAGCAGTGCGAAGCACTGTAAAGAAAGGCAAAGCAATGCCAAGCAAAGCCAAGCAATGCAGAGCAGTGCAACTAAATGCAAAGCAGGGACACGCCACACCAAACAGTGCGACGCCATGCAGAGCGACGCACAACGCGAAAGCCTCGCACCACCCCCCAATCGTGACCACGTGCCGCGGCCACGGGCGGCGACGGGCGGCCACGGTCCTGCGGGACCGACATATCCGGGGCCCCAAATTCCCCAGAACCGCAGTGCGGCGGTGGGCGGGCGACGGGCGGCCACGAGGCAGCCGGACCGACAGCCAGCCCCCGTCCCTCGACGGGGAGGAGGAGGAGGAGGAGGAGGAGGAGGAGGAGGAGGAGGAGGGGGAGGAGGAGGAGGAGGGGGAGCGAGCACAGACTGGCCGAGGTCGGCGCGGGATCCCCCCCACCCCGGAGCGCGCAGGGGGCGGCGCCAGACGGCGCCCCAGCGCAGACCGGGCAGTCCGCGCGGACATCCGGAAGCGCATGATCACGAACCTGTTCGATCATCGAGGGAGGGTCCTTCAATGCCTTTTGGGGAAATCGGATGGGATCGAAACGTGCGTCGGATCGTCGGGCTGCCTCGCCACGGAGCCGAGATCGATTCGGATCCGCTGAAACAGGATGTGCAACGAGGACATGCAGGCAACGGGCCGCATCAGGGCATCGGAATGCCAAATCCGAATCAAATCGAGCTGACGGGAATCGATACCAGGTCGGAACGATCGGATCAAAGTGGGCCCTTGGAGGGGAGGGTCCTTCAAGACGAGCAGGTCCAGCAGGCCCAGCACGCCGCAGGGGACGTGCGAGCTGATCTGCAAGGCCCGAAAGGGCAGCCCTCTGGCGATCCACTTCTCTCTGGGGCTGCGACTCCGTGCCCTCGAGGACCGTGGCCCCTCCTCCTCCTCCTCCTCCTCCTCCTCCTCCTCCTCCTCCTCCTCCTCCTCCTCCTCATCATCATCATCATCATCATCATCATCATCATCATCATCATCATCATCCTGCTCCTCTTTCCCCTCCTCATCATCGCGCCGTCATCACAATCCTCATCCTCATCATCGTTGTTTTCAAGATCATCCGCAGCAGCATCAGCAGCATCAGCATCAGCATCAGCATCAGCATCAGCATCAGCAGCATCATGATCAGTAGCAGTATGATGAGTAGCGTCACTACCATCATGTTCATCATCATCGTCTTCACTGGGCGACCTCGTCCTCGTCACCATCCTCATCGCCACCAGGCGCTTTATCCTCAGTACTGGCATCAGCAACAGCAGAAGCATCATCATCATCAGCATCATCATCTTCATTGTCGAAGTCGTCTTTGTAATCAGAATCAGCATCAGCAACGTGATCCAAATCCGCACCATCATCACCAGCATACACGTGCATCATCAACAGCATCGTCGCCATGATCATGATCATGATCACGGTCATAATCAGCAACAGCAGAATCCTCGCCGTCGTCATCGTCGTCAGCAGCAGGATAGTAATCATCGTGATCATCATCATCGTCGACATCTTCAGGATTATCATCCTCATCGTCGTCGCCGTCGTCACCGTAGTAGTCGCGGTCGCCGCCGCCACAGCCAGCATCAGCAGCAGTAGCGCCCGCATCAGTACCACCAACACCACAAACAAAAGCATCAGAATCACCACCACCATCACCATCGCTATCACCATCACCATCATCAGCATCATCAGCATCACCACCATCACCATCGTCATCATCATCAGCAGCAGCATCAGCGTCAGCATCAGCATCGTCGTCGTCGCCCTAATCATCAGAAGCAGCAGCCGCCGCAACATCAGCATCAGTATCAGCATCAGCATCAGCATCAGCATGAGCAGCATCAGCATGAGCAGCATCAGCATCAGCATTATCATCAGCATCAGCATCAGCATCCTCATCAGCATCATCATCAGCATCTGCATCAGCATCATCATAATCCTCTTCAGCATCAGCATCAGCATCCGCAGCATCAGCAGCAGAAGCATCATCATCAGCATCATCATCAGCATCAGCATCAGCATCAGCATCGTCATCGTCATCATCAGCATCAGCAGCATCAGCATCAGCATCATCATCACCATCATCATCAGCCGCATCAGCATCAGCATCATCATCAGCATCACCACCACCACCATAATCATCATCAGCAGCAGCATAAGTATCAGCAGCATTCATATTCGTCATCGGCAGCACCATCATAATCAGTATCAGCATCCCAATTATCATCCTCACTCCTTCTCCTCTTCCTGCTCCTGCTCCTCCTATTTCCCTTCGGGACGATGAGGCCCCCTCCCCCTCCATGCGCGGGCCTGCGGCGGGGGAGGCTCGTCGCGAGGGCTGGGAGCGACTCGGGAAGACTGATCTGACTGGCGCCTGGGAGGAGCGATGTGTGAGCGGATTCTGGTCGCGAGGTCGGAGCAGGAGAAGGAGCAGGAGGAGCTGGAGTAGCAGGGATGGGGGAGGGGAGGAGCGCAGCGGCAGGGAGAGAGGAGGAAGGAGGAAGCAGGCAGTGGAGGAGGGAGTGGAGGAGGGAGGGAGAGAGGGGGAGAGGGGGAGGGGATGAGGGAAGAGAAGGGCGGAGGGAGAGAGGAGGGAGGAGGAGAGCGGAGGGAGGAGAAGGGAGGAAGGAGGAGGGAGAGAGGAGGCGCAGCCGTCGTGCGAATTACCACGAGGAGCGCTGAGTAAGGCTCGAAGGGCGGCCCGGCGGCTGGCTGGAGACCCCTGCGGGGCCCCCCTCTTCGGAGGGCACCGACTCGCCAGCGCCAGAGGTTCTGCTCCTCGGCCCGGCAAAGGGGGTGCCCGCGCACCTGGGGCGGGAACGGTCGGCATGTCATGTGATCGACGAAATCTCATCGGACCGCAACGTGCATCGAATCTGGCCGTATCGGCACGGAGTCGGAATCAAATCGGGACGGCCGCACTGGGATGCACAGCGGCGCCGTGCAGACATCGGGCCACATCGGATCGTCGACATGTCAGGATCGAGGCGGGCCGAAACTGCCAGAATCGATACTCCAGATTTCGTAATAAAAGGGAGGGGGTCTCAAACCTCCCAGACGACAAGTTTTAGCCCCCCCCCCCCCCCTGGGAGAACCCTCCAAAACATCGTCCCCAGACCCCCCCAGGCCCTCCAAGATAGCCTGGAAGAGACCCCCCCCGACATGAGCCCCCCCTCCCTTTTATTTCCTAAATCTGGAGTATCTGATCGGGCCGATCGGATCGGAATGGGCTCTGGCCCGGGGTGGAGACAAGCCGAGGCAGGCGCGGCGTCTCGGGGACTCTGACGCCTCTCGCTCGCCCCCTGTGCCGGCGGCGCGCCGAGAAGGCCTCCTCCTCCTCCTCCTCCTCCTCCTCTTCCTCCTCCTCCTCCTCCTCCTCCTCCTCCTCCTCCTCCTCCTCCTCCTCCTCCCCCTCGTCGTCCTCCTCCTCCGCCTCCTCGCGCGCATCTGAGAAACCGTGCGCGTCGTCGGATAAGGCTCAGAGAGCTTCTCGGGCGCGCTGCAGGGCGCGTCTGGCAGCAGAGATTGGCCCTCGGATACGGCGGGTGCCTCTGTCGGGCTTTCAGGAGCTCTGGGGGCCCCCACTGCGAGGCGGGGATGTATCCAGATCCACCGCCTGGGAACCGTTGTCCTGGGACCTCAGGGGGTGGTGGATTTGGATACACCTGGGGCCCCAGGGGGCCCGACTATCTCCATATCCACTGCATGCGAAGCTCCCCGAAGATCGATCCTGCAGGCGGCGCTTCTGGATACATCCTCGTCTCGGATTTACGGATCGAGCCCGTCCTGGGAAACGCAGTCTTGCCCCGCCCATCCATACATCTGCACGACAAGAAGCTCCGAGCAGCCCCGCGGTGACGTCAATGGGCCACTAGTCGCGACCCAGGGAGGGGTCGGAATATGGCATCGCGGGCTCTGGTCATGCGCTCGCTGCACCGCGCTGCCACTTGCGACTTGTACTTCGCATGGCTGGGCCCGTTCCCTCTTCCCCTGGGCCCTCGCCTCTGGTCCCTGCCCTGGCTGTGTTGGGTGCTTTTCAGGCTTGCCTAAGTCTCTGAATTAACAGCATCGGCTGGCACTGTAGCCTCCTCCTCCTCCTCGTCCTCCTAAACGGTTGACTGCGTTCTCTGGCCACTCCATGCAGGAACAACATGACAAGAAAAAATATCAACGAAGCAGAAACCACTCACGATGCCAACCATCGGCTGTTACTCCCCGCATCCTGTGTGGGCATATCGATCCCGAAAGTATAGTCAAGTGTTGGTTGATTTCTCTGGACACCCTGCAAGAAAACACAACCTGCCTTCCATCCACGCCCCCTCTTCGATATTATTCACATCCTAAATGGGACACTGTCTCTAGTTCTGTCGCGGAGCACGCAGGGCCTGACCACATCCCTCTCCCTCACCGTTATCACCTCATGACAATTGAACCCTAATCAACCCACGCACTCTAGTCCGATCTTCCCGTTTTCACCATGTCCTCCCTGATCTTCCCCACCCTGAACCATCCTCATAGTCCCTGCTATGCTCACTTTCAATCGCATCGCACTTCCCTCTCACCCTCACCCTCCTCCAATCAACCCGCCTCACCGTTATAACCATCATCCTCACCACCGTCGCGCATCCCTTCCGCTCCGTTATCCCCGTTTTCATCCACCTCGCTCCCATTTTTCTCCGCCCAGACAATTCGCGGGCCCAACGGGCCCCGGGCGTGCTAAGATCTCCGGTAACTGGTTTACAATATTTCTAGTTCGCGCGCGCGGGGCCATCACTGGGGGTCTCTGGACGACAAGTAACCCCCGCAAGTCCTGGCAAGATCCCAGCAAGATCCTGGGCAGGTCCCGGGCAGGTCCCGGCCAGGTCCCAGCAGGCTCCCAAGAGCGCTCCAGGAGCGCTTCAAGTGGCCTCCAAGAGAGCTCAACATGGTCCGAGTCGGTCCAAGAGCGATCCAAGACGCCAAAGATTGCCTCCAGACAACCCAGAGCGCTTTCAAGACGCCCCAAGAGGCCTCCAAGAGACCTCCCAAGAAGGCCCAGAGAGGCAGAAAATTGTGATTTTCCTCCACTGATTGACGATGTTTGGCGTTCTCGCATTTTCGGCCTACCGGCGCTCCAAGACGGCCCAAGAGGCTTCCAGGACCGCCCCAAGACGGCCCACGAAGCCTCCAAGAGGGCCCCAAGACGGCCCAAGATGGCCTCAAGACAGCCCAAAAGGCGCCCATGACGGCCAAGAGAGCCCCAACACGGCCCCAAGAGAGAGAGCGAAAAAGAGAGAGAGAGAGAGAGAGAGAGACACGCCACTGCGGCCCGGGGCCGGTCCAAGGGTGGACGGCGCGATGGTGCCTCGGCGCCGGCAGGTGGAAAACTCACTTCTCGTCGTTCTGGAAAACCTTTACAACATCCGCCAATCTTTTCCGGGGACATTCCGGCCTTCTGGTACAATCGAACGGTTCCCAATTGTACGCCACTTGTGCCCAAGATCGGTTTTCTGTGTCCATGCGTTTTGACCATGATACGGCCGCTTTGCGGTGCTCAACGATCCAATCACGCAGTCCCAAATCTGAAAGCTTCTGTTCCGCGAAATGTGTCGCACCACGTTCAATAAAATCTTCCCATGGTTCTAGGATGTCCACTGAAGAAGAGGAAGAGGAAGAGGAGGAACCAAGAAGGGGCCCAAGAAGGGGACCAGGAACCGAAAAGTCCAGCCTTCAGCCCCAAGAGGCCCCCAGGAGGTCCCAAGGGGCCTCCAAGAGGCACCCCAAGAGGCCCCCAAGAGGCCCCCAAAAGGCCCCCAAGAGGCCCCAAGAAGCTTCCACAAAACTGCCTCCCCGGGCCCCTGAGAGGCCAACCACGAGAGCCCAACCAACATCGGTGAGGCCTCTGACCCGCCACCAACCGCCTCCGAAAAATGGCAGCCGCCCAACCGCACCGCATTGACAACAACACCCCGACAAACGACAGCGGCGAGGCAATATGGGCCAGCGGAATGAGCGAAGCGATTAAATACAATACGCCTTGGAATCATGCAGCTTGCATCAGGGGCGTGTGAGACTTAACTACGAGGGCTCCCCAAACCTTTAGCCCCCCCCCTAATCCCCTCCCGGAGGCCTCCGCAATTCCGTCGCCCGGGTGCACTCAGTCCCCTCTTCGGGCCCCAAGAGGGCTTCCAAACGGCGTCCAAGACGAGTTCGATTTTCAGTCCGCTTTCAATATGGTTTTCGGCCGCATTTCGGCTCGATTTTGACCCCGTCGGGAGCCCCCCTTGGCCTCTAAAATCAACTCCTGGGGCCCTCAAGAAGGCCTCTTGGACTCAACCACGAAAACAGACTCGAAACTTTAAATAGTTTTTCATGATTTTGGCCTCGCCAGGGGTCGCCCAGACGCCCCTTCTGGCTGACTTCGGGGCTCGCCTGGGGCATTTTTCAGCGTGTAATAAACTTCGACGCCGTTTTTGGACACGCTCTGGGCTCAATTTGAAACGATTTGGGGCCCAACTTGAGCCCCAAAACGAAGCCCAAAACGGGCCAGAACCAGCCAAGTTTTTACCGGAAGACGGACGGGGCTGCGGTCCAACGCGGGGATGCTCGTCCGTGAAAGCCTGGGCCGCCTCGGGCCCGTCTTGGGCCCCTTGTGGGCCCTTATCCGGGCCCTCTTCGGCCCTTACTGGCGCCTTTGGGGGCCGTTTTCAGGGGGTCTTTGGCTGGTCTTGGGCAGCGTTCTGGCTACCTCTGGCTTCCTGCTGTGGATAAGGAGCGAAGGTCAAGACGGCCAGCGTCCATATCAAATGATAGCACGGCCGACGACAAATCGACAAATAACATATCGGTCAGCCACACGGCATACCTGAGTCCTACCGACGATGGGATGGAGGAGGAATTGAACGCATAATAAAATACAAAACACATCTGTGCGGGAGTCAATCACCAGTGTTGGGATGCAATCATCCCGTCTTGGAGCCATCTTCGCCTCGCCCGGCGAGACCTGGAATGGGCGGGCGGTGACCGCGAAGCGCATTGAATATGATACGCCTTGGAATCATGCAGTTTGCATTACTCACGGCATCGATGTCGGGAGATGAACACAACAATTCGCATGCGGGCACGTGTTGCATACTACGACTCATCATCCCCATCACAGACCTACTCCTAGCAATCATCAACCTCATGATTTCCATCCTCGGCCTCCTCGTCATGATCGTCCACGTCATCCTCCTCTGACTCCTTTCCCTGCTCCCCATCGCCAAACAAAGCATAAATGTATGTGATGGCGATGGTACATACGTGCGCATCGATGTTTGCCCCGCGGGTGCCAGCGAAAAGTACTGCACGGAGACGAAGACGCCCAGCAGCGAGAGCAAGACGGTGGCCTCGTGGGTAAGCAAGACAATCCAGGTGGCCTTACGCTCGTCTGCAACGGCCTCCAAGGCCGTAGCCAGATGGTGCAGCCCCTGCATAAAAAGCGTCCAGCGGGTCAAATACACCCACCCGCCGAAGACGCGCTTCACGATGAACGCGTTGTCTCCCTTTGTTGGGGTCGGCAACACGACGGTGTGCTGCCACATCGGCAGCAGCGCCAGCACCGCGGCCGCCCACCGCAGAGCCTGAGAAGAAACGCATTCGTACAAAAATAGACTGAGCCACACTTTCCTCCAGGATTTGCCGCAATAATCAAAGCATCGTTCGCGACGACGGTACAGTGACAGTTGCCGACACTCAGTGGATTCACTGCACCCCCAAACATACCCACCATGGACAGATCAACGTTAAGCTGAATCAGCATTTAGCCGAGCATGAACATCCCATCGGCCCAGCGATACCAGTGTGGACATGCAATATTTGCGGGGTAATCTACGCGATGGAGTCTATGAAGTGAAGTCCATGCGGTGCAAAGTGTGTGTGGTCAAATCTAATTATGCGGTGCAGTCTACAGAACGCAGCATGTGTGATGCAATTCAGGCGGGGCTATTTCCGGCGATGACGATAACGACGACGGCGGCAACGTTTTTCGTGCCCCGCCATGAAGTTCGACCTGCGCTTTCAGTCTGCGGGCCCTTCCTCGGAGGCAGGTCTTCTGTCCAGCAACCACTTTTCATGGCCCAATGGCCCGAAGACGGTCCCCGGAGGCCGAAACGGAAGAAAAACGCAGGGACTCAAAGCATCAATCCGCCCAAAAGTCTGGGCGACGACGACGACGAGAACGACGACGGAGACGACGACGAAGACGACGAAGACTAGAGGATGACGCCGACGACGGCGACGGCGACGGCGACGGCGACGACGACGACGACGACGACGACGACACGGACGACGACGGAGAGCCGGTGCCCAAGGCGCGGCCGACGCCACGACGGGGCGGGGCGGCCCGCTGGGGAGCGCGGACCAGTCGGGCGCGCACGGCAGGGCCACCGCCCAGGCGTAGACCAGCCCTGTGGCGAGCCCGAAGGCCGCGTCCGCCCTCCGCATCGCCCTCTTCATGGGCGACCAGCGCATCCACATCCATGCCCTCGCGGTCTGGACACGTGGGCGCGATCCCCTGGATAATGCTTGGATAGCGCCCAAGGAACTTTAACGACGACGACGATCACGACGACAGCGACGACGACGACGACGACAACGACAACGGCGACGGCGGCGGCGGCGGCGAAGACGACGACGGCGACGACGACTCCCAGGAGCAGGCCCACCATTTTATCAATCATCGCGCAGGGCGCTGCTGCGTGACGGCCACGAGGGCAAATTTAACAGCGCCCTCCTACAGGATACGATCCATGAGTACGTCCCGCGCGGGGCATCCGCGCAAAGCCGCCCTGTATCCCTGGGGTCGCGGCCGAGGAGTCCGGACCGCGAGGCCGCGGATATGGATACGTTTCCCGCCCACGACCTCTGCAACGCCAGCTCCTCGTAGTTATACCGCAGGGGGGTCGGGACGAAGAAGGTCCGAGAGACCCAGTGCATGTGGAGGGACAGTAAAACTGCATACGCACAACCGTTCGGAGGTCCGCGAGGACTTCTCGGATCGGCGCTGACGAACCGCCCCTGGCGCGCTTCGCGCTCCAGGGGAGGGGGTCCAGCGCCGACCCAACCATTGGGGGGTCTTCAATTGACCACCTGACCGACCCTGGCGAGGCCAAAGGTCGGCCTGGCCAGGATCGGTGAGGTGGCCACTGGAAGTTCATGTCCAGGTAGATTGTTTTGCTCTCCCAGTATGGCGGACATGCCGAGACCACCACCGGCGCACGGCCACTGCCCGCTGAGCCACGACGGCTCGAGCCAAAACGGCTGCTGGCACCTCTGCTTCGCTGCCTCTTCCCCCTCCTCCGCAAGAATATCAATGGGCCCCAGGCTCATCCTCCTCCTGCTTCTCATGATTTTCATTTGTTTCCTCTTCTCCCACCTCCTCCTCCTCCTCCTCCTCCTCTGATCCCCCTGTGTGTGAATCTATATAAATATATCTACACGGATACGAACATATCTTCAATATCAACTTCATCTTCATCACCACCACCACCATCGTCATCAGCAGCAGCAGCAGCCGCAGCAGCAGCATCAACATCAGCATCATGAGCAGCAGCATCATCATCATCAGCATCATCGTCATCAACCACATCACCACCACCGGCAACATTACCATCAGTATCATCAGCAGCATCATCAGCAGGAGCATCAGCATCATCATTCGCATGATACTCCACATCATCAGAATCGCCACCATCATCACAAGTTGCATCATCAGCAGCATCATCAGCAGCATCAGGATCGTCGTCATCATCATCATCAGCATCATCATCATCATCATCAGCAATATCATCACCACCACCACCACCACCACGATCATCATCATCACCATCCTCATCAGCATCGCTCATCATCATCATCAGCAGCAGCAGCAGCATCAGCATCATCATCATCGTCAGCGTCAGCGTCAGCGTCAGTGTCATCATCATCATCATCAGCATCATCATCATCATCATCATCATCATCATCATCATCATCATCATCATCAGCATCAGCATCAGCATCAGCATCATCATCAGCATCATCATTAGCATCATAATCATCATCATCAGCATCATCATCATCATCATCATCATCATCATCATCATCATCATCATCATCATCATCATCATCATCATCATCATCGTCATCATCATCATCATCATCATCATCAGCGTCATCATCATCATCACCATCATCATCACCATCATCATCATCATCACCATCATCATCCTCGGATTTCTCTGTCTCCTCTTCCTCCTCCTCCTCCTCGAGAAAGGTGCAGGAATGAGGAGGGAGGGAAAAGGGAGGAGAAGGAGGAGAAGCAGCAGACACAGGAGGATGGGGAGGGAGCGCGGAGGAGGCCCACGCCGCCGCAGAGCATAGAGACCACCTCCCCTTGGGCTTCTTTTTAAAAGGTGCCTGGCAGGAGGTGCGAGCGCCGGAGTCCGCCTCGCGTGAAAATTGCGGCCAGGGTGGAGCGCAAACCAGGCACTCGAGCGACGACAAGAAGCGGGCCTTGCGCAGGAAGACATCACGACCTCACGCCGCGGCGTGCGCGGGCCGTCACCGTGGCACACTGCGTGGAGAAGAGGGCACTCACGGGCGACCTTGCACGGGAAGCTTGCGCGCGGACGTCCGCGCAGTCGGCCGCGCCTTCTCCCGTCACTATACAATTGGTCTGGACGCACGCGCCCTGTCTGCTATAGGTCAAGACAGGCCGGACTCCACCCGTACGCGTCTGCCCCACGGCAGTGGCTGCGGGCAGCCAGACAAAGCACTTCAGCCATTGGGCACGCGGGAGGTGCGAGGAAATGCGAGGGCAGAGCAGGAGCTGCCGAGCCTCAGGCGCGCAGGGAGGCGACCGCCTCGTTGAGATATCCTCGGGGCTCGGACTCCGCGGGGGCCACCAGGGACCCCACGGTATGCTTTCCTCCTCGGCTCAACGCATGAGTGACCCTGGGTAAGAGTCACCTTTGGTGTGCTGCTTTCGGGGATCGCAGGGGGCCAGAACCAAGCGCACAGGCCAGTCCATAGGGGTAAGGGGGAGGGCCCTGCGCGCCCGTAACAGAGGTCACTGTGGCGAAGAGCCACGCTCACGCGTAACCGAGCTTCTCCTCCGAAGAGACCCCAGGCGGCTCCCGGGCCCTGGCCGCCAGGCCTCGAAGCTGGGCCCTCGGAAGGCTCTCTCGGAGGTCGCAGCACCATGGTCCGGCGGGGGGCCCCCGCGAAACCACGGGCGACACGCGACGGCTGCGGCGACGACGACGGCGGCGGCGGGGACAGAAGCGACGACAGCGACGAGGGCGACGACGACGCCCAAGGGCGGCACGGGCAATGACAGCGGCGCTCCACGGAGGCAGGGATGCCACGCCGAGCCCAGCACCCTGGCCACGGACGATCGGGTTCGGTCCCCGCCCTCTCTCCCACAGCTCCGCCCTGACGCAAGTGGAGCTCAGCACCGAGAGCAGGGCCAAATCTGCGCAGCACGCGGCCAAAAGAGGGCACCGGTGGTGCCACCAGAGGGTCACGGGCCGCAAGCCATCGAAAGCACCTGCGGCCGTGGAAGATGGCCGCCGGGGGGGGGAGGCCGAGGGGCACGATCCGGGATATCCGCTCACGGCCGCAGAGGAAAGCACAAGACCACGTGAGGCCGCAAGCCACCGAAGGCCAGGGCAGCTTGTGGCCGTCGGGAAGACTGCGAGAGTGGGGCCACGGGCTGCGACCCAACGCATCCGCAACGGAGGGCCACCGAGGGCGCGAAGGGTCGCCGGCCGTGGCCGTGGGAGTCCCCCAGACGGCGGCCGCCGAGAGGAGCCGCGGGCGGGCTGCGGGGACCGCGGCCGAACAGAAACCCAGAGGCACAAGGCACAGGAGAGAGAGAGAGAGAGAGAGAGAACAACAACAAACCAAAACAAAAAATAATGGGCTGGTGGCAGAGGACCACGAGGAGGGGGAAGAGGAGAAGGAAGAAGAGGAGAGCGAGGCCGACGAAGAGATCGTCGACGACGGCGACGACGGCGACGACCCGAAGGCCAGAGCGGTTTTCGGGTATGCGCGAACCCGGGTCGGCCAGGGGCCCCGCGGTAATCTGGGCAGGCCACACGGTAGCTGACGGGAGGGGGCGAGGCAGCCAGAGGGGCATATTGCGCCCAGAGCCGGCATTCAGGTGCGAGGCGGGGATTATACACATCCGCCGCCAGAGAACTGACGTCCTGGTGCCCCAGCGGGCGGTGGAGATGGATATAGTTTGGCCCCCAGAGGCCCGAATCTGTGTCCACATCCGCCGCCGCCCGTGGAGTTCCGCGAAGATCGATCCCCCAGGCGGTGGTCGTGGACAAATCCCACCCTCGTACCCAGAGGAGGCCCCAGGCTTCTCCCGGGAGCCGTGCAGCGCCTCGTCCCGAGGCGCTGGCGAGGCGTTCCTGGGGCCCGTGGAGGGCGCAGGGAGGCCAGGAGCGGCGGAAAAGCCGAGGAAATCCCCTCCCCCCCCGGACCCCTCGCGGCGGAAGACTGGGGGGGCAAAGAGAAGACGAAGCCAAGACGAGGCTAACATCGGGTTAGGACAAATCGAGCATCTCTGAGATCTGGCGGCTCTGGAAGGTGTCTCGGGCGCCGCGGCCTTCTCAGCGCGTTCCGGAACGCTCTGAGAGCGTTCCAGAACGCCCTGGACCGGACTTATCCTCATCCTGGCTCCGTCTGAAAAGATACCGATGCCAAGGCTTGCCAGACCTCACCCAGAGTGCGTTCTAACCAGGATTCGAGGAGTCCAGCCATGGCGACGAAGGACGGTTATCGATATATCGGAAAATGCCCGTCCTCTGATTCAAAGATCTGGACCCCTTCCATGGGCCCAATGTGTCTTCCCGAGTCGTGCTTGTCGACGGTCCAGGGGCCGGGTGAGGGAACACAGTGGCCCGAACTGGCAGAACACCTGCGTCTCGAGTATTTCAATCCTTGCGCTGGAGGTCTGTGGGAGCGATATCGGTACGTCTTATTATTAGTATTATTATTAGTATTATTATTATTATTACTACTACTATTATTATACGTATCATTATTATTGTTGTTATTGTTATTGTTATGATTTGTTATTTCTTATTTGTATTAGTATGTTTGTGTATTATTCTTATTATTCTTATTAGTATTAGTATTAGTATCATTATTATTAATATTAATAATATTATTACTACTACTATTATTATTATTATGCTTCCTCTGACAAGCGGTCCTCGGAGCAGCTTGGCCGCCGGCATGGACAGGTCCCGCGGGGAGCCGACCCTGTTAGGCAACCACATACGAACGCTCCCCCTGCAGGCCAGATCTCTGAAAAACTGGCCAGGGCTACGAAATTGGAAGGATGCCCACAGCGAAGCGAACCCCAGCGGCGGTGTCCGACACCCTAGCGTCACTGGACCCAGGGGTACCCTGAGATCCTGGGACGCGGAGAAGATTCAGCATCGCGAGTTTTCACGACTGGAGCCCCCTGGACCCTGTCTTCCTGCGGCATTTCTCGAACCGTATCGATCTGTGAGGTCACATTGACCTCAAAATAAGCGAAAACGCCTGGCGTGAAAAAAACGCAGCGCCTGGATTTCAGGGTAGGGTTCGCAAGTGGTCTCAGAACCAGAGATCCGATGTCTAGATTTGTTCAACACGAGGTCCCTGAAGTCTCAACCCTTCCCCAGGGCTAGCTTTTCATCCTGAGCAGAGGTCGAAAACGCGGAACATATCCGTGTTGAATTTCTCAATTGAAGACAGCACAACCCACGCCCACCCCCAGCCAGGACCCCAACTCCCGAACTGGTGATCTAGGGGCTCCTGGCTGTGGGTGAGGATTGATTTTTTGCCTCCCAGAGCCCCGAACAAAAACACCCCCAGCCAGGAGCCCCCAGATCACCAAGTCGGGAGTGGGGCGTGGGTTGTGCGATCCTCATCAACACGCTTCGAGTAGTGGATCGACTACAGAATTGGTTTACCCCAAAGATAAGTCTTGTCGAATCTACGAAAAAAATACGTGGACTGCTCGTAGATCTACGAAGATTCTACGAAGTTGTAATCCATTTGACGAGAAAACCAATCTTGGGGTAAATCAATTCTGCAGTCGATCCCCTACTCGAATGCTGGAGGTCTGGGCACCTGTCCCGCAGGTACTCGAGGCAGGCGGCCGCCAGCGGCCAGCCTCCCGGCGGCGCACCGACCTCTGCCTCCGCCGCCTCCCTCGCCGCCCGCGCCACGGCCGGGTCCCCGCGGAGCAGCGCGGCCGCGACCGACCGGAGGGCGGCCTCCACCGACGGCAGCATCTCCTTTCATCGGGGAGTCGTAAGATCGGTTGGCCTGACTGGGCCGTCAGGAAAACGGGGAGGCCCGGGCTGAAATCTGGCGCGAGCTCCCGCTGCCTACACCCCACGAATACTGGGCGTCAAAATCCAGGACGGGACCGTCAACAAAAAAAGGTCGGTAAACCCGCGTTCCTGCGAACTGGAGTCTTGCGCTTCCCTGGCTCTAAAGAGTGGCGGCTGGCACATCCGCAGTGCGAGGCGGGGACGTATCCATATCCATCGCCTGGGAAACAGGGCGGCGGTGGATACGGAGACTCCAGACGTCATAATACGTGGGAGGGGGTCACAACCCTCCCAGACGAGCAGGTTTCGACCCCACCAGACCAGCCATGAAAAGGCGGCATGTTGCCCAGACCCCACTGGAACACTCCAAGACAGCCCCAATCATACACCCCCCAAATCAGACCACCACCCTTTTACTGTGAAATCCAGAATACAGTTTGGCCCCAGGGGGGCCGGTTATATCCATATCCACCGCATGACGAGGTCCCCAGGTCGATCCACCAAGAGGTGGTTCTGGACAACTCCCCGCCCCTGACCCAGCCGAGGGGAGAGAAATGAGGGGCCAGGCCTTCTGAGAAGGCGGCGGGACTTTTCAGAAGCCCTCCGGCCTTCTGAGAAGCCGTCTTCTTTGGAGAGAGCTCAAGCACCTTCTCGGAAGGCCAGAGGCCTCCTGAGCCTCCCGAGAAGGGGCTGGCCTTCCCCCCTGGGCGCCACCGCCGACTCTGAGAAAGGCGAGCGTCACATCCCCAGACATCCAGCGGTGTGGTTGTTTCAACCGCGGCGCGTTCCATGGATTCCAACCCCTGGGGCGCCTCCGGAGCCCCAGGGCCATCAAAAAAAGGATCCGGGACGAGGAGCTGCCTCACGAAAGAGAAAAAGGGGAGCCTCTGGGGTCGCGGGTTGAAAACATCCGCCACCGCGCTAGCTGCGGGTGCTGTGCGTCGGGCCCTTTCGCTTTTCGCAGAAGCAACGACGAGGCCCCCCGACGCATCGAGCCCAAGATGCGTTCATCGTTGTGGCCGAGTCCCTGCGTCTTTGGCCTCCCAGGCAGAAACTTGCCCCAAGTACAGAGCCTGCGGCAGGGGGGCCACGGACCCTGCCGCCCGAGCTTCTCGCCCCCGGCCCCAGGAAGCCTCGGAAAGAATGTCGCCGATCAGAGGCGGTGGCCCTCTACGGCTTCCACGACGGCCCAATATAGACTCGCAAACAGCCGCGCTGGTCCCAAAGCGGCCTAAGGAGGCCGCCAAGAAGGACCAAGAGGACAGCAAGAGGCCTTCCAGCACGCCTTCTGGGGGCTAAGACGGTGTGAAAGACATTGTCTTCCTGTCAGTTTTACATTATCGCGTTTTGTCGCGACAGCGTCCAGGACGGCCCACGAAGCCCTCAAGATCGCTCCAAGACGGCATTGGAACTCTCACGAGGTCTAAAAACGGCCCCCAAGACGCTCACAGAAATTCCAAGGGGTCCCCCAAAGCCCCCAAGAGGCCCCCAAGAAGCCCTAGAGAAGCTCCCAACAGGCCCCGCATAGGCTCCCAAGAGGCTCCCCAGAAGCACCACAAGAGGCCCCCAGGAAGGTCCCAAAGGCCCGCAGGGGCCCACTAGAGGCCCTCAGAGGCTCCAAGAAGCGTCCTGGAGGCCCCCACGAGGCCATGACTGGCTTCCAAGAAGCTCTCCGGAGGCCACATGAGGACCTCAGAGAGGCCCCCACGAGGCCTCGACGGGCTCCTAAAAGGCTCTCAAGAGGTCCCATGAGGGCTTCAACGCACTCAGCAAACAACGTCGGCAAAGACAGCTTACCCTGTTCATCTTTCGCCAAACAGCGCTCCAGCAAAGCGGGGCCTCGTGGGTAGTGTGCGTCGGGCCCTCGCGTTTTGTTCCACTCGCTTCTTGCGATGCGATAGAGTAAAGCCCCACAACGCATCTAGCCCAAAATGCGTTTATTTGTGTGGCCTAGTCCCGGCCTTCTAGGCCGTCTTCCAAGCAAAACAATGTCCCGAAAACAAAGCCTGGGGAAGGGGGGGTCCGTGGCCCCTCCCCCCTTCCCCCCCACGCCAACCCGAGCGCGGTGGCGGAATCGCGCGGCAGCGCACTTGGATCACGTCGTCGGACCCTCGCCTGGATGCTGCATCTGTTTTTGGCGTCTGGAGCCGTCTGAAGTCGGCCCGGGATGAGAAGCCGGCACAGGCGGGCCGCCCTGGGAGGAGTCCAGGCACCGACCTCGATAGGATCGCGCGGTCTGGAAACCGCGACGCCCCGATGGATGCGCGCTCCCACGGGGGCTCTCCCCGCGCGGGTCACCCGCGGAAGGCCACCCTGGACGCATCGGGGCCGAAGAGTCCAGCCGGCTGGGCCGCAGATGTGGATGTGACCGCCCCCGGAAGCCTGGAAAAAAAACGTGCCATCTCTCGGGGCGCATGCTTCACTTCCTTTTGACGCGACTCCCTTTGGCTCGGAAATTTAGCGGGGGCACCAGCACAACCGTGAAAACGACGCGGCGCGTTTCAAAATCGGAAACGAGGCCCTGGAACGGACAGCGGGTGCGGAGCGGCAGCCCGACTGGCCTCGGCCCCGCTCCCGCGCACCCCCACCCCTGTGGGAGTGGCACTTGCGGGGAATGCTTCACTTCCGCCGGCTTCCGCCAGCCTTCCTCCGACTTCCGCTGGCGGAACAGCCCTCGTTTATACCTCCGCCGCATTCCGCCACCCCTCCGCAGACTTCCGCCAAAGAAGAGGTGGCAACCTCTCGACGTCTCAAAGGCGAGGCCCCCTCTGCAACTCGGTACTGTGCTTCCCGCTCGCAGTCCTCTGCGGGGGTCGCGTACGGGTCCGCGAGACGGCACTTCGTCGGGTTCCCCGACGCCCAGTCGCCGACGCCAGACCCCGCCGCGCGGCAGCAGAAGCGGGCCACCGCCTCTGCAGACAGAAAGGCAGCACGAGCATCAGCTCTCCGAGGTCCGCGCGCACTTCCTGGATCGGCGCGCCTCTGACGCCGTCCCTGGCGCGCAACGCGAGCCAGGAAAGGGGGCCCAGCGCCGATAGAAGAAGTCAGCGGAGCTCCGACGGCTCATGCCTGCGCAGACTCTGCTTCTCAACTGCGGGTGGTGACGGCAGGAAGCCGCGCCCGCGAGTGGGGCAAGCTGTGCTCCTTCGCGGGCGCACGTGTGCACGGCAACTCGTTTCTGCCTCGAGCCTCGTGGTTCTGCACCAGGCTCCACGCGGCCTCGACCCGGAAGTGCTCCTCTGGCGCCGCTCGCTGCTGCGCCGTCAGGGGCTCCAGCTCCGAGTCCAGGGGGGCCGACGCCCTCGCGCTCCCGGGCTCGATCGCGGAGCGGGCCTCCCTCGCCAGGTCGCTGTCGCTGGGGAAGCACTCGCCGTACTGGGGCGGGATCCGGGGAACACATCGTGACGTGAGCACAGGCTCTCATCTCGGAGGGCCGCGCGGATTCCTCGGATCGGCGCTGGGGCCCCCTGGCGGCGCCTCTGGCGGATCCAAGAAGTCAGCGCGGACCTCGCATGTGCATGTCAGAATGGGTTCCCCGAGGGATGTCCATGCAGTGGGTGTAGTAGTCACTCTTGGTCGCCATGTAGTGCGGCAGCGCCTCGTAGGCCGAGAGCCAGCTGTCGATGTTCGGAAACCGCTTGCGGACGTCGTAACCCTTGTAGAACATGGCGCTGGCCACGGCCCGCTCCACGTGCGAGACGTACTGCATGTCCACCAGCGTCGGCCACGCGTACGGGAGGAAGAACGGGGATTCCGTGTTGCTGCCAAGCTCGCGGTCCACCTGCTCCAGCACGGAGGTGAACTCCCCGTCGCCACCCCCGAGGAACGGCACCTCCGGGCGGAACATGTAGCCGCACCAGGCGCCGAAGAGCTTGCGCTCGAGGCCCAGGAGCTGCTGCGCACGGTCGAGCAGGGGCCCCGCCGGCGGGATCATTGGCTTGTCTGGGTCGGGGAACGTCCTCTCGATGGTGACCATGATGTCCAGGCTCTCCGTCATGAGCCTGCCGTCGATCTCCATCGCTGGCAGCAGCCCGTTGGGGATCAGTTTCAAGAAGGACTGCGGCTTGTCGCCGTAGGAGCGCATGGGCACCTTCACCGTCTCGTAGTCCACGCGCTTCTCCTCGAGCATGAGCCACACCTTCTGGCAGTAGGGGCACCACGCCGCCTGGTCCCGGAAGATCTTCACCCGCGGCTTCTCGCGCCCCTCGCCAAAATACCTCACCTTTGCGTCCGTGTGCGGCAGCAGGCCCGCCTCCCGCTTCGCCCGCGCCTCCGCCAGCTGCCTGCCCGCCTCCGTGGCCTCCGCCTCCTTGGCAAGATCAGTCAGCATCGAGTCGACAAATCGAATCGAATTGGAACGCGCGTCGGATCGGGCTGCATCGGCACGGGGTCGAAATCGAATCGGACAGGCCGCGCTGGGAAGCACGACGGCGCCATGCGAACCTCGGGCCGCACCGCGCCGAATCGGGCCGGGGCGGCCAACACAGAACGAGACCGACCGGATCGACATGGACCCCACCTCGGCCAGCTGGCCCCAACTCGCCACCGCGGCGCGGCGCGCGCCCACGCCCGCCCCCGCGCCCGCCGCCCCCCCGCGCCCCCGGCGCGGCGCCCGGCGCAGCCCGCCAGCCCCTGCCGCCAGCCCCGCCGCCAGTGCGCCTCCGCCCACCCGGCGCGCAGCAAGCACGCCGCCGCCGCCGCCGCACGCCGCGCGGCGCGGGCGCGCGCCGGCGGCGACGGCGCCGCCGCCGCGCGGCCTCGGCGCGCTGGCGGCCAGCGGGCCGCCGCGCGCGGCCGGCGGCGGCGCTGCGAGCGGCGCCACGAGCGGCATCGGGTCCTGTGCCAGCGCGGGCAGGGGGGGGGGGGCGCCGCGCCCGGCGCGGCCCCGCGCCCTTGGGCCACAAGGCCTCGCGAGGCGGAGAGCTGCCGGCCTGGGCTTCCGTGGCTCCGCTGCTGGTCCCGCCGCGCCCGGTACGGTCCAGTACGGTCCAGGTCGCGGGCCCGTAGCAAGTTCCAGGAGGCTGCGCGCCTCCTATCTCGACAGCAGCATCGCGGCTGACACCGCTAAAAGAAAAACTGCGCAACACATGTTGGGCAACCCCTTTGCAGGACACCCCTCCGCCATCCGGACATTCATCGCCACCGTGCCCCCCTGGCGCGTTGAGGCGTGGTAGAATGCCGCCAAGTGCTGTCTGGTAGGTTTCCTGTACTATGCTAAGAGACGCCCCTACCTACTCCTCGCGCTCAGTGCATACACCGCACTCTTCCCGAGACAACAATCCCTTGTGAAAATCATAGATCCGCGCACCCGAGTCCACGATCAAGCAGACAAACACTATGGATTCGCGCTCCCGAGTTTGAAAGACGGCCCGACTTGGCTTCTAGACAGCACAAGAGGGCCAGAAGAGGACCCCCAACAAGGCCCCAAGAGGCCAAAATCATAGATTCCCCACTTCGCCTTCTCGGGTTTCCTGCAGCCCCCGACGGCCCCAGAGGCCTCCAAGATGGTCCGAAGGCAGCCCAAGAAGCTCTGAAATGGAGAGGGCCTCGCGAAAGTCCAACAGGGCCCCTGAATGGCCCAGCACGGCCCCAAGAGCCCCAAGCTGGTCCAAGAGGGCATCCTGAGGGGCCCAAGACGGCCTCAAGGGGGTCCCGCGACGGCCCAAGACGGCCCAAAACGTGAGATCGATGTTGAGATCGATAGTGGGATCGACTGTGAGATCGTGAAATCGATTGTAAGACGGATAGCGAACACGACTTTGAGATCGACAGTGAGATCTATTGTGAGATCGATAGCGAGAGGGATAGTGAGTTCTGATGTGAGATCGATCGTGAAATCAATTGCGAAATCGATGGTGTGATCGATCGTGATATCGGATGAGACGTTGGTTCCTCCCCTCGAAACTCCTTATTACTCAAAGGGAGGCCGTACATGTATGTATATCAACCACAAAGCAACAACAACAACAACAACAACAACAACAACAACAACAACAACAGAAACAACAACAGCACCAACAACAGCAACAATAAGGGAACGCTGGCTCTCGAAGCCCCTTCCAACGGGGCGAGCTTCCCCGTCGCTCCCCACGGGAGGTACGCCTACTTTCTAACGCCCCCTCTGGGGAAAGGGGGGGGGACACCGCATCGCACCGTACTGGCTTCTGGGCCAGCCCCCATTGGGAATTGATTCGATTGCCAGATCCAATCGAGGAGGCTAAGGCGCCTGCAAGCGCCGAAACTTCCCAGGCCATGTCGTCCCCACGCAAGCTCAATAAGTACGAAAGAATGTAAAATCCCCACTCAGGAACCTTTTTAGACAATAATCCTGACTAAAAGAATTTGAGTCAGGAGCCCCTTATGAAAAACCCTTGCTACATAATCCTTACTAGGAGACCGTAGTCAAGAATACTTACTAAGGGACTTACTCAAGACTTCTAAGAGAATATGTTTGAAGAAACCTTCCTACGGGAAAACTACTCAAGAGTCCTTACTTAGAGAACCCAGATACAAATACTTACTATGGGAGGCTCCCTCAAAAATTATTACTCAGAGAACCCGAGTAAAGAATCCTTACTCTGGGATTATCACTCAACGGTCTTACTCAGAAAACCCGAATAAAGAATCCTTACGATGGGAGTCTCAATCAGAACTTCTTACTGAGAGAACCTTAATGACGAATCCTTACTACGGGACTCGTACTCATGAGTGATTACTAAGAGAACCTAAGCTAAGAAGCTTCACTAAGGGAAGGTGACTCAAGAGTCCTCACTAAGAGAAGCTTCACAACGAATTTGAAGACTGGGCATACTACTCACGAGTCCTCACTCGAAGAACATGAATGGAGATTCCTGACTACGTGACTACTACTCAAGAGTCCCTACTAACAGCACCTTACTGAAGAAGCCTAGCTAAGGGACTCTTGTTCAAAAATCCTTACTATGAGCACCTCAGTCAAGGGACTTCACTACGGGAAGATGACTCAAGAGTCCTTACTAAAAGAACCTTAGTGCAGAATCCCTACTACGGGACCCTGACTCAAGAGTCCCTACTAAGAGCGTATACATGAAGACTTTGTACTACGGGGCTCTCACTCACGGGTCCGTCCTAAGAGAACATGAGTAAAACAAATCTCAATGCGGGATTATTACTCCCCCTCCTCCTCCTCCTCCTCCTCCTCCGCTTCCTCGGTCTTTCCCTGTTCCTCCTCCTCCTCCTCCTCATCATCATCATCCTCCTCCTCTTCCTCCTCCTCCTCCTCCTCCTCATCCTCCTCCTCTGCCTCCTCATCCTCCTATTCGTCCGCGTCCTCGTCACCCTCCTATGCCGAATGTCTGGTCCTGCCAGGAGTGTTTCGAGGAGCCCTCAGCGCCAAGACTGGAATCGGCATCGCCACCAACATCATCGTCGTCATCATTCGCATCACTGTCATCACCGTCGCCTTCATCGCCATCAGCAGCATCAGCAGCAGCATCATCATCATCAGCATCATCATCAGCATCATCAGCATCATCACCAGCATCATCAGCATCAGCATCATCATCAACAGCATCAGCATCAGCATCAGCATCAGCATCAGCATCAGCATCAGCATCATCATCATCATCATCAGCAGCAGCATCATCATCATCATCATCATCTATACCATCATCGTCGTCATCGGCGCCGTCGTCGTCATCCTCCTCCTCGACATGATCAGCATCCTGCTCATCCGAATCCTCATCATCGTGAGCATCATCATCATCAATAGCAGCAGCAGCAGCATCATCATCGTCATCATCAGCCGCATCATCATCAGCATATTAAGCACGAGCATGCACAAGAAGACTAATGACACGAATAGCAATACTAATAACAATCGTGATAATCATCATTGTCATCATCATCAGCATCATCATCGTCATCGTCATCAGCATCATCGTCATCATCATCAGCAGCATCAACATCAGCAGCAACATCAGCATCACAAACAACATCAATCCTATTGGCATCATCATCAGCAGCAACAGCAGGAGCAGCGTCCACGACAACATCGTGGGCAGCAGCAGCATCGTCCTCGTCATCAGCATCGTCCTCATCATTGTGAAAAGAATCGTCGTCAGCATCAGCAGCAGCGTCATCATCATCGTCATCACCATCATCATCAACACCATCAGCATCAGCATAAGCATCAGCATTATCATCATCAGCATCATCATCGTCATCGTCATCGTTGTCATCATCAGTATCCTTGTCATCGCAATCCTCTTCATCTGTGTCATCACCAACAGCGTAATCATCAGCAGCAGTAGCATCATCGCCTGAATCATCATCACAAGCATCCGCGCATGGTCATCAACGCCATCACTATGTACTCGTCATCACCGCCACTTCTCATCATCAGCATTATCATCAGCAGCATCACCATCATCAGCAGCGACATCATCAGCATCATCATCATCATCAGCAGCAGCAGCATCATCATACTCATCAGCATCATTCACAACAGCATCATCATCATCATCATCAGCATCAGCATCATCATTGTAATCGTCATCATCAGCACCATGACCAACATGACAGCGTATACCGCCAAAGTCAGAATCACAATCATCAGCATAATCAGTATCAGCAGCACCATCGCTGTCGTCGTCTCTGACCTCATCCCCAGCCAGTGTCACAATCATAATCGTCGCCACCATCAGAATCATCACACCCGAACTATAGCCATAACCATCGTCAAAACGTATGCAACGTCATCATCATCAGCATCGTCGTCATCATCATCGTCGTCGGCACCGTCGTCGTCGTCGCCGTCATCATCGTCATGGCCATCGCCATCGTCGTCATCATGAGCCCTTGACTTGGCATGAAGGAAACGGGTCCTACGGAAGAGATCCTGGACCCTGGAGCGTTCCCCAAAGACCAAGTCTGCATCCTTAGTGGTTCTCTGACGGTTCGCGAGGGCCCCGCGTGTCCGAAAACGGCGATACAAACCGAAGATCCGTTTCCATCAGGACACCGTTTCGGCGCACCCGACGCGGGCGCGGCCAAGATGGCAACGATGACCAACAGTAGTGTCCAAAATCAAAAGCGGCCGCAGTTGGGCGGGCGACACGTTGCCTCAGGTGGGCAACGTCAGCGGCGACGCCGAAAGAGAGTCCTGTCCAGAATGACCAAGAACTGCTGTTAGTCTGCGAGGAGGAGGAGGAGGAGGAGGAGGAGGAGAAGGAGGAGGAGCAAGTCTTTCAGTGCCCGTTTCGTCGTCTGGCTTTCGGGTCGCAACTCGGGTCTCCGACCGGTCGGGACGACTCCCGCGACCCCAGAACGATTTTTTCGGCGAGGCGCAGCTGCAGGAAGCTCGAGACAAGAATGCCTCATGGAAACGAGGAGGTCTGTTCCCCAAAGATTTCCGCAGGGATTGGTTTTTTGGTTTGTTGTTTTTTGGGTTTTCCTTTGGTGTTTTTTGGTTTTTTACATCAGAACCAAAAACACCTTGTGTTTCTTTTGGTTTTTCAGCTCAGAACCAAACAAACCTAAGGAAAACCAAACAAAAACAAAACCAAACGAAAATGAACTGCTGGCTGTCTACGTCCCCGTTCTTCCCGTCCCCATGTCGGTCGCACCGACAGTTCCTCCATGGCGACCACGTCCACCGCACCGTGCTCGGCGCCAGAGGAGAGGGGCAGCGTCAGGGGGGGATCAGCTCAGGCTGGAAACATCGAGCAGGAATCGGCGATGCATCGCCGATAGATCGGCGTTTGGCCCGCCGATAGCGTATCGTATGGTCCCGAGCGGGATGGGCTATCGGGCCCCATTGGTGATGAATGGGCGATTGTCAAGAAAGCGCCGAAACATGTATTAGCGACGGGTGGATTAGCGACGAATCCTGCTCCCACTCAGAATCGGCGCGCGCCGTCGCCGAATGAGGCGGCGCCGGCGCCATGTTTCCGGGAGGACCCTCCCCAATCCGTGGATCTGGCGCCCAAGCGCGAGGTCCACGGAGGCCCCAATCCATGCTGGCGCGTGCCCGAGGGTTGGGGTCGACGCCTCCCCACCTCAGCCTGGGCCCCCCGGGCGCTGCTCCTCACGGGGAAGGCGCCGGGCGCAGACGGGGGGAGCGGCGGCCGCTAGGGGCAGTCCTGCGGCACGCCCATGCCCTGCGCGTGCATGGCCTCGGGCGCTCGCCGCTGCCGGCAAACCCTCGTCCCGAGGGCGGCTCCTTTTCGCACCGGTGCTCCCGCTGGCGACTCCCGCGAAGTTCCCGATGGGAAGCACAAGCCTGTGCAACAATTGCACGGATGAGGGGCCAGTCCCTGTCCGACAGGTGGGTCTCGCTGGACACCTCGGCGAACGTGTAATCAAATTGCTTCGAGGTCCTGGCTGCGCAACGGAAGGATGCGGGGCAGTTCGCTTTCAAAACGCGGCCCACGCCAAAATAGCAGGCCATGTGGTGCTGGTGGGACTTCTGGGGAGCGGGGGCTTGGGACGGGAGGGACTATTGCAGCATCGCTCGAGCATCGTGGGTGTACTGTGGTCCTCCTCCTTCTCCTCCTCCTCCTCCTCCCCCTCCTCCCCCTCCTCCTCCTCCTCCACCGAGCACGGTTTTGCATGCTCGGGGTGCAGAGGGCTTGGAACCGACCATTTCTTCACGACGAGCAAACGGCACTCGGGAAAGGTCGGACCTAAGGTCACACAACGCTGGCCAGTGAGGTCGACGTACTCACATGATCAGAACTCCGCGCGCAGCGCGTCGTATCTAATGACCTCCTGCTCCTCCTCCTCCTCCTTGTCCTCCTCCTCCTCCTCCTCCTCCTCACCATCATCATCCTCTTTCTCCTCCTCCTCCTTCTCCTCCTCCTCACACACACAAGCACAGCAACCCGAAGACTCCGAGCGGCCGACCCTACTTCCTACTTAAAAGCAGAGAGTAAGCGCCAAAGCTCAAGGCGACACGGAGGAGAAGAGGGAAGAAAGAGAGAGAGAGAGAGAGCAAAGAGAGAGAGAGAGAAAGAAGAGAAGGACAGAGAAAGAGAAATATGTGCCCAGCCCAGCCTCGCGCTCTCTACGCTGAGGGGGTGGGTAGGGAAGAATACTTCGCTTCCTCGCCTTGTGTGCCGCACTCTTGCGTGCGCACGCTGACGAATATCTTCCTCGTGCCCGCGGAAAGACAGGCCATGGTCTTGGGCCCCCCGACTCGTTCATGTGCACGGCTGCCTGCTTGACCATGGTTGGCTCAGCGCCAGAGGCGCACAAGCAGTACATCCAGCAGCATCTGCAGAACTACAAGCCTGACAGCTCCGAGGCCCAGCACATGATCGGGCTATTTAGGCTCGAGAATCTGCTCAATTCAAAGAAGAACCGCCTCACCATCGCCATGAAGGACGCCAAGTGAAAACGTTCACTAGTGGTCTCCTCCTCCTCCTCCTCCTCCTCCTCTTCAGCACGAGGAGGGGCGGGGGGGGAGGAGGGCGACCGAGCGCCAGGCGCCGAGGTTGCACTGCGCGCGCGGGTCCCCGCGCTCCGCCGCCGCCCCGAACAGGGCGGCGGCCCGGGCCTGGTCCTGGCGCGCGTTGCCGCGGCGAGCTCTCGGCGGAGATTCGGAGCAGGGCCAGCCGAGGCAGTCTAAAGCAGGCCGAAGCAACCTCATTCGAATTAATCTCGCTTGGCGTTCCACTGAGAGAAGGAGGAGGAGGACGAGGAGGAGGAGGAGGGCGGAAGAGGTTGTCTCAACTGCCTATCCTCCATGGCATCCTCGAGACAGCGTCTCCCCGCATGTCTTCGTGTTCTTCTCGGTGCCACGCGGTCCCAACGACGGGCCAAGAGAGCTCCAATAGCCCTTCCAGACGGTCCAGGAGCGCCCCGAGTCACCCGTGGATCGCTCGAAGGCGCCCAAAATTGACCCCGGACGGCCCAAGAGGCCCCCGAGACGCCCCAAAAGGGCTCCAACAGGCCCCCTAGGAGGGCCCCGAGAAGCCAAACTCGCCGTAGATGGCCCCCAAGACGGCCAAGAAAAAGGCCCAAGAGAGGCCCCAGAGAGGCCAAGGGAGCTCCAAGAAGGCCTAAAAAGCCACCCAGACGGCCCAGGATGGCCCCGATTGCTGCCCAAAAAAAACCAAAATGATAACCAAAGCGCCCAAGATTGCCCAAGGGGGCCTTCAGGCAGGCCAAGCGCGACTCCATAGAGTTGTAAGCCAGCCCAGGGTGGGTCCAGGAGGAGCCCGGAACGGCCCAGGAGTGCCCGAACACCCCGAAGGAGGCCCAACAGGGATTTCAGAGAGGGCCAGGACGGCCCAAGGGAGCTTCAAGATGGCCAAGAGGCCGCCAAGACACCCCAGGATGGCCCCCGATTCCTGCCGCAAACGGGCCCAAAAACGCCGAAGATTGCCCAGGAGGACCTTCAGGGAGGCCCAGCGCGACCCCAGGGGGGCGGGGCGGGGGGGCGGGTACACGCTATACTGGCCCCGG